CGTGGCTGGACGAGGTGGCAGCGCCAGGCCAGCTCCAGCAATCAATTGTTGGCCCCCAGAGTGATCCCAAGAGATGAGAACCAGCACAGTCTTCTCACCAGCAGCACAGCTGTTTCCCATCCCGCCACCCACAAGCAGACCCCCCAGCGAGGGGTCTCCAACCTCAAAACCCAAAGCAGGAGGCCTCGGGGCCTGTGAATCGGACAGCATCTGTGAAGTAGCTGGTCTACTTTTTGTACAAAAAAATTGGTACCAAATTCCATGTGGAAAAAGGTCTGCAGACAACACTTGGGAAAAGAACAGCAGTGGGACAGATGCCACGGCAGAAAGGGAAAGAAACCTTCTATGTCTGTCACCATCCTCGTTTTCATGATGTCACTTTTGCAAAAAGCAGAATCCCAATCTCATAGCATTCTTGTGGCTTACCTGGAACTTTAATGTTCAATAATGCTATGAGTAGATGTTTTGGTTCATACAAAAGCTATTTGGTGAAATAATGATTTCTATTAACAAATACCAAATGCTTTTATGTGTGAGAACCTGTGGGACAGGGAGAAAGTTGGTCAAGCTGAAACAATGAACAATTTAGTGCCTAGAAGACAGGCTGTGTTCATGCGCTCTCCCAACGCTTGTGACTGTTACAGGGAGATGCAGCTCACACAGCCATGCTGTGTGAGCAGGAGCCCGCCAGGTGGAGAATGAATAGGGTGATGGGGCAGAAGGCACAGAGCCCAGCCAGCCTGGTGAGCGTGAGCACAGAGCCCCTGGCATTCCAACCAAGCCTGGAGGGCGGCAGGATCGGACAGAGCGCAGGTTATGTGAAAGAAGCTCGCAGCCGAGGGGGAGGAAAGGCTTTCGGGGAGTGTGATGCGGAGGCCCCAGAGACTTCCCTGTAGAGGGACAGGGAGCGCCAGGAGACAGCTGTGTTAGAGTGGTGCCCTCGGCACAGGGACCCAGGAGAGTGCTGTGGTTGTGGGAGGTGTGAGGAGCCAGCCCCCCACGCATGGGCAGGTGTTGGGGAGGGAGTGATGTGCAGCCAGTGCTGTGGAAACGCAGTGGGCACAAGCAGGTGGACATGCTGCCACCTGGGGCCTCCTGGCCCCGCACAGCTGAGGCACATGAGGAAGGTGTGGGTCCATTACAGCTGACCCTCCGGGCAGCAAACACACTGCTGGGGAACCAATCGACTGCACCATCACAAAACCCCACACTGCGCCACCCACCACGAGGACAGGACGCAGACAGTGTGCCTGCTACTGAGCCGTCACCCCTGCTCAGGGCTCTGCTCGTGTCCTTCCATTCCCCACCACGGGGAGAGCATCTTAGGGTGGAACTTGCCTGCCTGCCTGCCTGCTTCTCCAAACTCATCCAGCATCTGCAGGAGCGCCTGGACCCCCAGCAGAGCTCCATAAACATGTGGCAAGTAAGGGAGCAGCCATCCTCAAGAAGCTCCGGTCTAGGAGGAAAAGGAGTTACACACACAATCGGAACGAGACCTCAGTGGAAATCATGCCCACGTGTTCTCTGAAGGATAAAAAAGGGTAATCCCAGCTGGGCGCGGTGGCTCAAGCCTGTAATCCCAGCACGTTGGGAGGCCGAGACGGGCAGATCAAGAGATCGAGACCATCCTGGCCAACATGGTGAAACCATGTCTCTACTAAAATACAAAAATTAGCTGTGTGTGGTGGCACATGCCTGTAATCCCAGCTACTCAGGAGGCTGAGGCAGGAGAATTGCTTGAACCCGGGAGGCGGAGGTTGCAGTGAGCCAAGATGGTGCCACTGCACTCTAGCCTGGCGCCTGGCTACAGAGCGAGACTCTTGTCTCAAAAAAAAAAAAAAAAAAAAAAAGGCAGTCTCAATGTCTCTGGCTCAAAGAAATATTAAAGTCACCACTAGATTTAAGACAAGTTATCAAGTCTGATTTGCTTTTACTAACAACAACACAAGCAACACTAAAATGAAAAACAACTCATTCAAACAGAGGGAAGCACTATCTCACACAAGGTCACAGGACAACGGCTCTCAGTGCCTCCTTTAAGAAAAAGCTTTGTTTTCTGAGAAGGCAAAATAACTTTGCAATTCTGAGCACCCTTGAAAAGCATGTCTCTGAAAATTACGGGTACAGCTTCTCAGGAAAACAGAAGGCACACCTGATGCCCACGGTCCCCAGGCCCTAGCTGACCCATGGAGTGGGCTTTCACACCAGTCACTCCTGGCCCTCTGCAGGTCAGAGGCAAGAATGGATGAACTTTCAATTCGATTGTCCCTGCCCCTCTGTAGGTCAGAGGCAAGAATGGATAGGCTCTCGCCACATTCGTTCCTGGCCCCCCACAGGTCAGAGGCAAGGATGGAGCAGGCTTTTACCTGGATGGTTCCTTCTTGCCCCTCTGGAGGCTGGAGGCAAGGATGCAACAGGTCTTCACCCTGACAGCTGCTGCTCCTCTGTAGGTTGCAGACAAGGTATCCACACCTCACAGGAGCTCTGGTGTGGAGCTGGCGCCTCCCACGTGCCCACAGGTGAAGGCGCCCCTTCCCACCCTTCACTGCATTAAAGGGTGAGGCCCCTCGACTTTTCCTAATGAGGACAGGAGCAGAACACTTCTGGCTAAGGAAGACCTTCTTCCTGATTCCATGTTTCCAATTAGAAGGAGATTCTACAGACACACTCATCTTTCAGAAGGATGACTGCAGAAATTTATACAGAGAAGCTTTCTCAAGTCATAATAATCTGAAAGCACAAACTGATCATAAATCAATCCATTAAATTGATTTACTCCCTTTATGTAATTAAGTCAAAAATAATTCCTCAAAGGATAAATGGGTCTTTAAATCAATCAGCAGAACGTTCCCACATACAAATCATTAATAATGGGCCCAGGTGGAAAGAAGAGTGACCAACACAAGGTTCCAGGCTCTGCTGAGGGCCTGGGCTAGCCGCGGGAGAAGGAAGCCACACACGGAAACACCGATCCTCCGTATCCTGCTCCCCGGAACCCCGTGGATACCCAAATCCGTGGATGCTCCAGGCCGTGATATAAAACGATTTACTAATTTGCACGTAATCCATATGCATCCTCCTATACACCTTAAATCATCTCTAGATTACTTATACCACCTAGTATCTTGTAAATGCTATGTAAATAGATGTTTACAGAATAATGACAAGAAAAAAGTCTCTACATGTTCAGTACAGATGCAATATTGTTTCAAATATTTTTACCGAATCCACACATGCAGAAGCCGTGGATCTGAAGGGCTAACTGCATTCCACTGTGATAAAAACCCACAGCAAAAGGTCTCTGCAAAGACATTTCACCCAGGGCGACAGTGAAATGTGAACGCAGGGCTAACCTTGGAAACCTTCTCATGCACACTTAAATATGGGTACATAGCAGGGCAGAAAAAGGTCTTCTAGACAAAGGCCCAGGACAGAAGAAAAAAACTGGTCCATATTGTATTTTAAAATTTTAAACAAGAAAGCATTTATAAGTCATTACAGGCAAAGGATTAATATTAATAACCTACAAAGAATTATTTCTCAATAAAAATAATCTAAGTAAGCTGACTAAAAATGAGAAAAATACCCAAAAAACGATTATGTATAAAAAAAGCCAATTATAATAATGAAGCAATGGTCAACATAATCAGTTATGAAATAAATTCAGTAAGATTCACCAAGCTCGGCCGGGCGCAGTGGCTCAAGCCTGTAATCCCAGCACTTTGGGAGGCCGAGGCGGGTGGATCACGAGGTCAAGAGATCGAGACCATCCTGGTCAACATGGTGAAACCCCGTCTCTACTAAAAATACAAAAAATTAGCTGGGCATGGTGGTGCGTGCCTGTAATCCCAGCTACTCAGGAGGCTGAGGCAGGAGAATTGCCTGAACCCAGGAGGCGGAGGTGAGCCGAGATCGCGCCATTGCACTCCAGCCTGGGTAACATGAGTGAAACTCTGTCTCAAAAAAAAAAAAAAAAAAAAAGATTCACCAAGCTAACCAAAAAAACTGGCCAAGATGCCAAAGTTTAACTATTCCCCACTGATGTAAGTAACCAGAAACACACACTCTGAAGCACAACCACCACTCAAAACACAGGTCTCCGTTCACTGCTGCAGAGATGACGAATGCACTCTGCAAAACAATCTGACAAAGTATGTCAAAGCCTTGAAAATCCACAGTGCTCAGCAGAGCCCAGACAGTGCACCGGTACGGAGACGGGGGCTGTCGGAATCCAGGAGGAAAGCAGTCCCAGGCCCTGCACTTCCGTGGTTCATGGTCTGGCAAGGGAGTCAGCAAGAGACAAAGCCCCACACCAAGTGAGAATGGGCGGGGCACCCGCCCCCCCCAACCCGCCCCGGTCAGACGCCGAAATGGCACGCTGGTGTGGAGAGGGTGCCCTTACACTTTACTATTAATAACGCAATAAGAGACCAAAAAATACACCCACTGCAAAACACACCACAGGTTCCTCTGCTGTTCAGATGAGGTAGCTGACATCTAAAAGTGCTGGCTGACTGGAAGAGCTTGCCACTCTAACAGACAATCCAGCTCTCACTGACGGCTCCAGTAGGATGGCTTTGGCTGAGCCACTTACGAAAGCCTAAGTCCCTTTCCTCTTCAATCCTTGGTCTTCAATAAATCACCCCAATGTGCTGCTCCAAAGTTCTGCTCCCATTTTGGTGCTGCTTACGTCCCAGCTGGGAGCCCCACCACTCACAGCAAGAGCGGACGTGCGGTTCCCCAGTGCCCAGTGTTGGGTTTCATGCGTGAAGACCAAGCAAGGCTGGTGGCTGTGGCCTCTGTCGCAATTCTAAGAAGCCTGTGTGAAAGGCTGGCTGTGGCCACTCACAGGGCAGGACCTTGCCAAGAGTCGGGTTGGAAACTCAGCTCCTCAGCCCTCAGCGCCCCTGCTGGGCCTTCCATCTGGAATTGATACATTTCAACACATTCCTCCTTGTCCATTACACCCAGAAAATGGACCTTAAAAGTCAGGTTAAAAACTGCTTGCATTGTAACTATCCCAGCTGGATGGACACAATCGCAGAAGGATATGAGGCTACTGTATCAAAACCAAATCTGGACAAGTACCTACAAAGTTTCCATGTATTATGGCACGAAGCCAAAGCAAACAGACTGCTTCCTTTCAGGATGTTTTTCAATATGCTTCTGCTTGAAGAAATTTAACCAATTGTAAGGCTCTTCAGTTTCTCAACAAAGAGAAACAGGATCCACTGAAAGAACACATGGACCCACCTTTCACAAAGAGGGCCCTTCCTGCCCAGCTTCTCAGGCCGTCCTGGTGGCGAAGCCTGCGTGCTCTGTAGGTCTTCTGCAGCCGAGGAGCACCAGAGGGGCCTCTGCACGCCCAGGAGGCACTCAAAAGGCATGACTGCAGAACAGCCCCACAAATAAACATCTTCCTAAGTGACGGATACCTGTGTAATTTGCAAACAGCCCTGCTTGTTCTCCACTCCTGCCCTAAGGGGGCTTCACACAAAGAAATGTGTTTCGAACCGCCAGCCTCCCTGTACAGAGCCGTGCAGAACCAAGGCTCCAACCAAGTGCACCGCCAATCACTGTACACCTGCCAGAAAATCAAACGGATGCCGCCGCTGGCAGCCAAGCAGGGGCAGGAGCCCAACTCTCACATCAACAGGCAGCGCATTGCCCATACTCAGGTCCTGGCGCTCTGTCATCACAAGTGAACATCTCAGCACTCCACGGAAACATGCATGACTCCTGCTGGACCCAAGATCAGAGCACAAGGAAGGAACAGTGGCAAGCCAGCTCCTGAGAGCCTTCAGATAACAGGTGTCTCCTGTGGGCCCAGGCCCATGCCCTGCTCCCGCGCCTGCCTCCCCACTGCTGAGGCAAAGGCTGGAGAAGCTCGCATATGGCAACACCCCACTGTGTCCTCCCCAACACGCAGCTTGGAGGCCCAGAGGGGAAGTGCATGGCCCCAGAATGCAGAAGGGTCTGCTCAGCCCAAAGGCCCCATGCCATGCCCGGAGTGGCACCTGGGCCCAGAGAAGGCCCCGATATTATGGTTGGTAAAGTGCCCTGTGCACGTTGATTCAAGGATGAAAAGAAAGGAAGACCCGGACCTTCTCAGGCTTCCAACATAGCCTGTGTCTTGGGTTTTAAACTTGCTAAGGCTTCTCCTTTCCTGAACAGTATGTGTAGAGCTCACTGGGAGCTGGGGAAGGCACAGGAGTCAGTGCCTGCTCCATTCCGAGACAATAAACTTGGCTGGGAGAACGCAGAACTCCACACAGTCATGGAGGCCTGAGCTCTCTGAAGGCTCCCTGGGCCTTCCCAGCTTTGGGCACTGCAGGACCCAGGACAGGCAGTGTGATGGGCACTGGGTGGCCCAGGCAGGGGCTATACAGCATGTCCAAGACACCATGGGGTAAGACAATGAGGCACTGATTTTTTAAAAGTCATTATCAGCCAGGTGTGGTGGCTCACAACTAATCCCAACACTTTCGGAGGCCGAAGTGGGTGGATCACGAGGTCAGGAGTTCAAGACCAGCGGCCAATATGGGGAAACCCCGTCTCTACTAAAAACACAAAACTAGCCGGCCTCAGTGGCGCATGTCTATAATTCCAGCTACTCGGGAAGCTGAGGCAAGAGAATTGCTTGAACCCAGGAGGTGGAGATGGTGAGCTGAGATCACACCACTGCACTCCAGCCTGAACAGCAAGAGTGAAGCTCTGTCTCAACAACAACAACGAAATTTTTTTAAGTCATTGCCACAAAAAACATTTTAGGAACTCACAATACTAAACAAAGAGGGAAATTAGCCACAGATACATCGTGTAAAACACAATCAGGATATCTGTTGCTATAATTTTATTCCAATTTATTTCTGTGCAGAGGTTTTGTTCAGCTTTTATATGACTACAGTTGCGCTGTAAATACAAATGTGTGTCCTGCTGAATCTGACGTTTGTAATAGGGATCTCCCACTTCATAACATGCTCTTTGAAGCCATCCCTCAGGATGCTGCATGATCATCCAAAGAACTGCAATTTCCCCGTCTACACAGCCAGCCACACCCCTGCTTTGGGATGCTGGCACCATTTCTTTTTTTTTTTTTTTTTAGGTTTGCTTTTTAGCTTAAAGGACAGGTCTTTAGCAAATATTCAACAAATCAACCTGAATAAAATAGTCAATTAAATGCTGTAATTTATCAGAAAAAAAACCACTAAGTTTTACCTCAAAATGTATTGCACAAGTCTTTTTAAAAAATCACCCTAAAAATAAATAGGAAAGGTAAGCAGTTCTTTAAAAAGAATGGAAGAAAGGAATATTATGTAAGCCCATAAAAGCAGGTTAAGTCATTCAAAATTTCTTTTAAACAACAAAAAACTCTTCCCAAGAGAAAACTGAAGAAAAATCAATCACCATTTCTCCACTGATAAAATCTATTTTAAAGGCATCTGCAACATATCTGCGGGCCAGATTTCTCCTGGTCTTTTGGCTACATGAGGGGCCCTGAATCACAACCTCACTCTCAGAGTAGGAAGTGTGGACAGTTTCCAAGCAGCAGTCGCCCAGCGGCGCTCTTCTTCAAGATGAAGATCGAAGCCATGACATTAGCCGAGCATCTTCTCTTTCCAAAATTTTCTGAGTCTGATCATCAGGGAATTTCAGTACAGTGGTTATAACTTTTGCCATGGTCTTAGTCTCACGACCCATCATATACTCAAAAAGCACTTTTCGCAAATACTCAAACTCGGTAGGTTCTCCAAAGAGTGATACATCAGTATGATACAAATTTCCACCTTTGTAAGGTGTCCCCACAGTTGTTGCATATACATTCTTTTCATATTTCTTCAAACGGTCTTCTAAATTGTGAATCTGTTCTCGGAACTCCTGCTCTTTCAATTTCCAATCACTGATTAAAGTGGTCTTCTGTGCTAGCTGTGTCTGTAGCTCCATAATTGTTTCATTTTCATTGCCAGGGTTCTCCTTCTGCTCTAGCTTTTGCTGATATTTCTTCTGCAGCGCCTCAAGTTGAGTCTGCAGGTCCATTACTTTGGCAGTCATCTCTTCTTCACGAGCATCAAGAATTTCTTCATATGTTTTGGCTGTTCGTTTTAGATCATCATCTTTCTCAGCAATTTTTTTAAGTAACTGATTTGTCTCTTCTTGATGGCTTTCTAAAAGTTCAGCCTCCACCTCCTGGGCCTTACTGATAGTTTCTTTTATGGTCATTTCCAGCTCTTGTTCCTTTTGTGCCAGCTGAGTATTAAACTCCCTCATCAGCTGTTTTAATGTGGAATTGTGCTTCAGTTCAAGATCTTCCTGCTCTTGTTTGACTTTCTCTTCCCTTTCTTGTTCATATTCTTTCTTTAGTATTTCCGATTCTTGCTGATGCTCCTTTCTCAGTACAAACATCTTTCTTTTGTGTTTCAACTTCAGCTACCTGTTTGGTAAGAAGAATTCGTTCTGCTTCCACATCCAACAACTTCTGCTGCAATTGGGCCAACTCGTTCTCATAGGCTTTTGTCTGCTCATGTGTGGTACTTCGGTAAGACTGAAAACCAACCAGCTTAGCAGATGCCTGCTGGAGTTCACCTTCAGTCCTTTTAATATCTGCCTCTAAATTTTCTACATGAGCCTGATGCTCTTTCAGATGCTCATCCTTTTCCTTCAAGAGAAGCTCCAGTTGATTAATTTGATCTTTCAATGCCTTCTCAGTCCTCTGCATAGATACCTGGTGTTCTTTAATGATACTCTGAACTTGTTGCTGGTGATGATTTTTCTGTTCATCCATCTTGGCCTCTAATTCCTGCTTCATTTTATCTGTTTGATCTTTCAGAATAGAATGTTACACAGCCAGCCACACCCCTGCTTTGGGATGCTGGTACCATTTCAAATATCTTACTGTTATAATAAAGAATGCCCAAATAATACTCTTTTCTAAATAAAGTATGTGGTCTGCATTGAGAGAGATTTCCTTAAGAAAAACATCTCAAGTGAACCTGTCAGGTGAAAGAGTAGAATATTTTATTGAGAGGTGTTGGTAAAATACTTGAAAGAAGTGTTGCGAATGTATTTTACAGACAGCAGGGCCTAAGATCATCCTCCTCACTGATCACTTAGCAGCTCCATGACCTGCTTTTCTGCTCTGCTCATTGGGAAGGTAAAATATCTCATTACAGTGAGATCTAATTCACATTCTTTATTTTCTGGTAATGTTTAGCTGTTTTCCACATGTTTGTGACTGTTCCTTAAATCCATTTTTGATTCAGATGGTTCCCAGCTAACGCCATGCAGAGCAGGAGGGGCAGCAAGTAATGATCCCTGGCAGAAGCCAGCTCTCCCTGGCTAGGATCTTAGAGACACTCGCTTCTCCTCCCAGACAGCACACTCCCTCAAGGCCAGAGGCCTGCCACAGTCAGCCCCACTCAGGGACTTGCCAGAGGCCTGTGATGTGTGTGTTCACCTGCCACTGACGAAATCTGCAGGAACCTGCAGTGACTTTCTGAAAACATGCAGGAAACCAAGCAATCCAACTCACAACATCTGGATACATCTGTCAAAATACACACTCAGGGCCGGTGCAATGGCTCAGACCTGCAAACCTAACACTTTGGGAGGCCAAGGCGGGTGTATCACGAGGTCAGGAGTTCAAGACCAGCCTGGCCAATATGGCGAAGCCCCACCTCTACTGAAAATAAATAAATTAGCCAGGCGAGGTGGCATGCATCTGTAGTCCCAGCTACTTGTGAAGCTGAGGCAGAAGAATCACTTCAACCCAGGAGCAGGAGGTTGCAGTCAGCCAAGATCGCACCCTTGCTCTCCAGCCTGGGCAAGAGAGCAAGACACTGTCTCAAAAAAACAAATTACGCACTCAGGCACACTCAATTCCCCAGGGCTCCCACACGCATCCCCGATGCTGGTGACGCCATCCACTGTGCTGCCCTCACACCACTGACCCAGTCCCCCTCCCTCTGTGCACTCTCAGAGTCCCTTTCAAACCCTGACAGAGCCATTGGTACCCCTGTCCTGGAGTGAGGAAAAAGGCCACTGAATGGAAATGCCAGGTTCAAATCCTGGTCCCTATCAAACAAAT